GAAAGGATTAAATGTTTTGTCTTATCTTTATTAAATTTTAGTAAATTACTGTTAAACCATTCTTGTGCAAGGTTTTCTGCTGTTTTTATCGAAGTTAATAGCGATTCGTAACTATTTTCAGAGCGTATAAGAGAGCTATCATCAGCAAAAGCAATACCTAGATAAGGCAACATACGAAAACAAAAATCATTGGTGTAAATTATGAATAAAAGTGGCCCCAGGACCGAGCCTTGGGGTACACCAGTTTTAACCAGATTCAGCTGAGAGTTTGCTCCATTGACAGTAACACACTGACTCCTATTCTGGAGATATGACTCAAAGAGTTTTAATGATGCTCCTCGTACTCCATTGAGAGAGCTTGTTCACCAGGATGTTGTGGGAGAGATCACAGTCGAAAGCCTTACTGAGGTCACATAAGGTTACGCCTGTTAGTTTACCCTGTTCGAAGCCCTCGACTATCTCTCTCACAACCACTGCTATTGCATGAATAGTAGATCGTTGTTGTCGGAATCCAAATTGATTATTGTTCAATTGTTTCTCGAAATATTTGTTCAACCTTTGTTTCAATATAATTTCAAAAATCTCACCAATGTAGGGCACAATAAAAATTGGCCTATAGTTCTCTCTCTAATAAACTGTTTCATTATACTTTTTCGGGTATTTCGACATGGTAGGTAAGTTTTTTTTTGCAAAATAGTGAAAAACTCATTGAACAATGTCATAGTAGGACGAAAACAGAAATTGCACCAAAGAATAATTTTTTTATCACCGCTAAGTTGGTGGTCTCGCGTTGTGGACACAAGGCCACATGGTAACTTTCTAGTTTTCACTTACAGAAAATAAAACGTTCCTATTTCGGTCTACTGGTGATGTGAGATTATGCCTCAGCGACAAGAAGAACTGTTCTTCTGAATCTCATTCCATATGAATATTCGTAATTATTTTATTTAGTAACTGAAATAGTAGTAGTATATGTACTTTGTTGGTATGTGTGTACATACCAACTGGCCATCGACCCCCATTGAGGTTCTTCAGTCCAAAAGTGTTCTGAATTGTGTGTTCTGTGCATGCTTTGTTACTAACTCCATACGCCACCTTAGGAGTAGCACTGTTAATTGGGACGCACAATATTCATTTCGTGACTTGAATATTGAAAAGATTCCTTGCCCTTCCTGGAATTCGAACTCACGACACCGCGATCATGAGTCGGAAGCTCGTCCACTACGTCAATCTCGTCTGAAACGAAAAACTGAAAATTCATCTTGTATGTCTTCAAACCGAGGACACGTCCTGAAGCCTCCAGCGAAGGTCTGAAAATGAAATAACATGTACATACACCTTATTGAATCACAAGTTAATGAATTTATGCTATCAGTTGTTGAAATATAGCAAGTAAATAAATTCCGGCCTGAAAGGGTTGAGAACTATGATACCTTCATGCACCACATTTTTTCAATTTTGAACTTTTCTTCTTGATCAAAACATAGTCCTCAGCGTACCTAGCCCGATGAAAGTATCTGTGTTATAACATTCAGTCATTCATTCATTCATATTGTTTTCAGAGTGTAATTTAAACATTCTACTGGAATTGTCAGAATTTTCAACCACATTTAGGAAAAAGAAGAGGAGGACACTATTTGCCTGACCGGTGTGTATGAATCCGTCTTACTTCTTTCTAGTTTGGCTATCCATGAAAGCGCGTTTCTTCAGTTTTTAAAACTATATATATATAGACGTTGATTTCTCCCTCCAATATACTTGTACGCTTTTTTTTAATACGACTGTACATTCATCTCTAGTAAATATTTTTTATAGTTCAATATCTATCAGCAGACTTATATTATTCTGTTTTCTACTGCCCTTCAGTTCGACAATCTATCTCTTTCATTTTTTAAACTATAGTATCAATTTTTTACTTCTTTCACCCTGGCCTGGAGTTTGGCTATTCACAGGGTGTTCTTTAAAGACGAGCTAATATTCGAGAGGATGATTCTTCAACGCATTTCAAGAAAAAAACTTCCTACTAACGTATGTTCAGAAAGTTTTACTTTTGAGATACATTGATGATGTTTTGAAAAAAAAAATCCGTTTTTTAATATTAACTAGAATAATATTGTAGTCATCTTTATGAAATTTGGTACATATCTTCTATGCTTATATATCTATATCTTCAAGGTGCATTCTTTTATGTATACAAATTTTCCTCTTCTCGACCAGTGGCGCCGTTAGGGGAATATGATTGTTTATATTATACTTGAAAGTGAGCAACGAAGGAATATTTCCAAATTCAATAAAATACTATAAAAAGTCATTCAATTTTGTACTAAAAAAGATAGTCCTGTTGATACCCGACAGGACGCTTGGTTTTCGAGAAAAAACGAGAAAACGACATCAACGTCAAATTTCGAACTGACCCATTGCAAATTGGTTATTCCGAAATCCTTTCGCAAAATAATAAATTATAATAAGTTGACTTCGTCAAATCTTCATAATTGGCATTCAAGGTTTCCAGTATGGAAAAAATAACTTTTTTTACTACTGCTATGAAAAGTAGCGCATTTCTCATAGCTACCTTAGTTTCGAAACCATGTATTACTCATACTGTGAGAAATATTTTTTCTCACGGACTTTGCCAACACCACATACATTTCCATGGAGAATCAACAAGAATCGACCAAGACTTGGCTTCTGTTCAGCTTTCAATAGTTGTCACAACTGTCAGAAGTTTTTTTAAATCCTTTAGGGTAGTTCTCATTAGCGCTTCTGATAGAAATCGCATTTTTCATCAAATATTATTCCAAAAATTCATATTAAATAATACGATGTATATACCGAGATGTGACGATATTGATAAATACACCGCCAAAGACAGAGATAATGGAAGAAGCTGCAAAAGTTGGATTTGTTTCCAGAAATCTCAAGAAAAAGTATGAATTGGCATTAACGAAAGATTTATTGAATCTGAAAAAATAAAGAAATAAAATCTTGGGTAGTGTACTCTTTTTAAATACTTTGTGGAACTAGGAAAGGCGTCTACTCTTTGGTCACAATATATTCAATGTGGCATAGTGCCACATCGTGAAATGAACACCAATAAGCTACATCACTAGGATTCTTTGAATAAGTGCAGTTGTAGAAAATGTATAGTGTGCAACATGTGGGGAAAAGCACTTTTCCCACTTGTTGCACAATATACTATTTTGTGCAGATAAATTGCCATTTCGATGTGGACAATGGTGGTATTCATCATTGATGTCACATTACAATTACACTGTTTTCAAACATATGGAATGGTCGGAATGGGCCATTCAACACTTGCATTGATTGGGATGAAACCATAAGGAATCAGGTATCACAACAAATTGGTATAGGTATGAAGAAATAATGGGCGTGTACACCTTAGTAGAACTTTTAACTCAAATCTTGTTTATATTGATCCTTTTATACATAAATAATGATTGACGACGTAATTCGATCGAAAAATTAACTGGAATGTTTTATTTTTGGTCATAAATGATAGTACCTTCTGAAAACGGACCCTCTTATGACGTAGAAACCTCATCTCGCCATAGTTAAAAGAGAATACCAAAGGCCCGTCGGAGACTGGGGCAACTGATATATTAATTCTTTCAACTGTGATCTCGCGCTAATTCACTTTGTCAAAAATCATGTATCATACATCTCTGTCTGGAATAGTCTCGTTTCAGTATTAGGGTTTTGACGTCACATCATCGCCTCGTTTTCAGAGGTCCGAAAAATCGGGGATTTCAATAATTTTTTATAAAACGTAGGGAGCTCACAGCAAGAAACGGTTTGCGGTGGTGAGCTAGTTTGGGTGAGTTCTATCGAATTATGAAATGAAAATTCCTTGTGATATAATCCCATTGGATTCATCAAGAACATATCAATGGTTGTTATGTAGAAGATGGAAATCTAGTGAAGGGGTTGGAAAAGAAGATATGGTTGGAGAAACTGCTAAGAATGAACAATATTTCGCTTGTCAAACTAAGTGCCACTTCTGATTCTAATGAAACAATCTTCTATTTATCTCTTGGAGCGCTCGAAAAGAAATTCCTATTATGTTCGTGTAACATCGTGCGTATCTAGAGAAAATAGAGAGAGGAGGTAGGTGTCAAAACTTTTTCGATACAATAGAGAAGGAGGAACTACCTTACATGAAAACTTCTCATATCCTGAATTTTTTTATGAATTTGGAACTATAGCAAATGAGAACAACCTCATCTTATATAGCAAAAGAATGAGGGGGCAGAATAGATCATTTAGATCGCAGTGTATTCGCCCCTTATGCATACGATGTAATTCAGGGAAAGAATATAATTATCATTGCGAATTGAGAATTATTCATTTGAGTGTGTTGTTGTGGAGTTACACTTTACACCCTCTACGATGTTAGCAAGAATATGTATCAGTTATTATAGTATTCATTCCAGTTGCTTATTCAAGAAACTTCATTGATATTTATCAAATATACTTGTTACGAAAGATAACATGATGTTATATAATGTTAGACATTACATTTCTGCTGAGTTCTCTGTTCCAATTGAACGATATCAGTATTGCTGATCAACACGAAATTCCATGTGAAGCATTGTGTTGTGAGATGAATTTATTGATAAGTAACATTGTATTCTTTATTTTCATTGGTCAAACTTGATGTCATGAAAGCGTCGTTTTTGTGACGAGGCGTCGCGTATAAGACTTGTAACACTGAACCATCTATATTTTTCCACATCTGTACACAATTTGCTGTATCTGTATTCATCGCCATCAACATCAACTGATCTATTGTACATGAAACCAGCTGACAGGACCCTGAGTATCATTTTGCTCACCCTATTCAATGAAATATGTCGATGAAAACACTCATCCTAATGAAGTTGGATACGTTACTCGATATGTTCATCAAACATAATCCACATTAGATAATTGCTACTCCCCAGTATTTTATCAGACATCAAGAGATCTGACCAGTTAACAAAATGAGTGCACAAGAATCCATCAAATGTCTGAGGTACATATCGAAAATATGTAGTATCCTTGGTATTATCACACCTCGTGCAAACACATGGATATATAAAGTGTACTCTCTGACAGTACTTTCCATCGTATTCATCAACGCCATCATAGCTTTGAAGGAAAGAACTTCACCGCTATTCACTACCTATAACGTCATAATCAAAGCTGTCGACCAAATAGCGAATGGTTTTTTGACGCTGGCCGTATCTTTTGCAACTATTTCGAACGTTTTCGTCTATCCAAGCAAATTGGAAGAGATTCTCGATTCGCTGCTCAAATTCGATGTCGATTTTGACAACCATTTGCAGGTGATGCGATTCATTTTCTGGTCTGTTCTGATCGGTTTGAACGCAATCATCATGATGATGTTAGCCCTAGATTCCTGGTTTTGGACTGATGCTGTCAGTCTGACGATTTACAAGTACTATTTCGTGAGAAACGTGCAATACTATCAGCTGACTTTATTCATATTTCTGATATTCTGGATGGCCATGGAAGTATACTGCAGGTTCGTCATGTTGAATGAGTTTTTGGACCCTGAAAAGAATCAGAAGAGCCATTACATCGCCATTTATCCACGAATCTCAAAAGTAAGAAGATTACACAATCAGCTCTGTAAGGTGGTAAATGACCTGAATCGATAATTTGGAATGGTGATTGTGCTGTATGTGCTATTTCTCATGTCTCTCATTATTCAATATACCATCACTATGATATTATATGGGAGTCTTGGTGAGACCATTCTGAATTCAACTGTGCGTACTGGATTATTACAATCAACTTCTTGCTGCTGGATAATAGTGAACTTTGTAAGTATAATTATACATCGTTAAGGATCGGTTAAATATCGAAGACTCATCTACTATAGGTTTTTGAAATCATCTGAGTGACCCCTATCCACAGATGAAGTATTTACGTTTCCCAATGAACTAATATGTATATGTACAGTGTGGTCATTTAAGTGTGCAACGTATGAGAATCTTTTTGATGAATTGCACAACCAAAATACTGATAGTGCCAAACCATATTCTCAACAAGGTAGAACATCAATAATGATAATATGCGTGTACAAAAACTTCCATTCAATGTGCACATTTTGTATTTGAAATATTACAAATTGGAAAATTATTAACGAACAAAATTGAAAAACTAATAAATTTCTTAGGAGGCCATGTTTTGGTATTCAGGCATAACTTTCAATTGTAAACAACTTTTCCCAATAACATTTTGCTGAATTTTCTGAAATAAGGGTACTTTACTCTTGAGCAATTTTTATATTTTTTGACCTACCCTGTATGCTGTGTGACTTGCAACCATTCTAAGTGCACCTGAAATGATTACCGAACATGCACCAACTTTTGGCACTATCTGTATTTTGGTTGTGCAATTTATTAAAAAGATTCCCATATGTTGCACACTTAAATGACCACACTGTATAAAATCTTGAATGCCGCTATGATTTCTTATTATGATAGTTTGCCCTAAGTTTTTCAGCGACAAAACCGAAACTTCACATTGAGGTAAGCATGCCAACCAACATTGTAAAAAAAAAAATTATGGTGTTGTATGTCATGTTTTCGGCGACCATTCAATTTTTTATAGATACTTCCACGGAAAAAATTCTTCAGAACTCTTTGCTGTCATCCCACGACGAGCAATACCAGCCTGACGAACTCGACAAGCGCAGTCAGCACATCCTTTCGTTGTCAACCTCGAAATATGTCGAACAGCACTATATCAAAACTCGTTTGTCTTATAGAACGGGAAAGCCCTGGAATTTATTGCCTGAGGAAGTATTTCCAAGAACTCATGATCTCCGAAATTTTGAAAAAAATCCGGCACCTGGGGTACGCACGATGTTCTTCAAACATTATAGGGATTCCCTTTCGTGCGCACCAAGCGATAAAAAAAACTTGCGTTGTCAGAAAAGTATCTATTCTGTGGAAACTCCGCGATTTGGGAAGTCTTCGAGTGGAGATATTGAAAAAGCAATCAACAACATCAACAACAGTGTTATTTAATGTATTCATCAAACATGCAGCACCCAAACATACCCTGAAACTGTTGGATTCTGTCCAAAAAAAGGCCATTCGTCTCACTCACTTCTCTATAGAATTCCGTAGATGAGTTGGCCCTCTGGCTCTGTTTTATAGATATTTTCATGGACGATGCTCTTCTGAATTATCAACAATTGTACCTTCCTTGGCAGTCCCCGCGAGATTAACCCGTCGAGTTGAGGCTCCGCACCCCTTCGTGGTTACTTTGAAGACTTGCAGAACATTTCTTCCCAGAGACTCGTTCATCCAACGATCAGCGAGGCTCTGGAACACATTGCCAAGGAAAGTGTTTCCCGAGGCATATAACCTTCAGAAATTTAGGGAGAACATCAATACCTACCTCATTTCCCTTGGTTCTCACGATGTTCTCTGAATATTACCAACTACGAATTTGAAGGCATTTGACCTTGGAGAACAAAATGATTCCGCCTGTGGCACTTTCTTCATTCATGTCTCCCCATCATGGAACAACGCTTTTTACGCTCATGGAATTGTCACACTCTCTGACGGAATATGAATATCAAAGGGAATGCATATGATTTGATGATTCTGGCTGTGAGTTCTTGTCATTCTGGTTCAAGCGGTGGTCATGAATCTTGGAATGATGCATTTTTTTTTTAATGTTCTCTGGTTCCCACAAGAAGGAATATCCTGTAATGTTCAGAGAACATCGTGAGAACCAAGGGAAATAAGGTAGAAATTGGTGTTCTTTTTAAATTTCTGGAGGTTTCATGCCTCGGGTAACACCTCCCTTGGAGATATGTTCCAGAGCCTCGCTGTTCGTTGGATGAACGAGTCTTTGGAAAGATATGTTCTGCAGGTCTCCAAAGTGACCACGAAGGGGTGCGAAGCCTCAACTCGACGGGTTAATCTCGCGGGGACTGCCAAGGGAGAAACAATTGTTGATATTTCAGAAGGGTATCGTCCATAAAAATATGAATGAAATAGAGCCAGATCGCCAACTTTTCTACGGTGTTCCAGGACAAGTCGGATCCGTGCCTTATAGATCATAAGCAGCTGACTGGAAGTGAAATAGCTCCTGACACGAAACAAAAAACCAAGTGTTTGGAATGCACTTTCATGTATACTTTCGAAATGAATAACTTTCTACATTCGTGTTTGTTGTCCAATCAAATTGTTTTGAATCAATACGTTCAAGGGAATTCTATAATTATCATTCCCAATTAATAATTCATTTTGTTGTGTGTAATGATATATGCTGATGAAAACAATTATCAGAATGAAGTTACTCGATATGATTAACAAACATTGTCCCTATTAGATGATTGCTACCCTCCAGTGTTGTGTCAGACATCAACAAACCTCACCCGTTACCGAAATGAGTGCACAAGAATCCATAAAATTTCTGAGATACATATCGAAAATTTGCAGTATCCTTGCTGTTTTCCCAACTTGTGCAAACACATGGAGATATAAAATGTACTCTTCGACAATTATATCATTCATATCCATCAACGCCATCATAGCATACAAGGAAAAGACTTCACCACTATTCACTACCTATAACGTCGTAATCAGAGCTGCCGACCTAATAGCGAATGGTTTCTTAACGCTGGCCGTACCCTATGCAGCTATCTCGACCGTTTTCGTCTATCCAAGCAAACTGAAAGAAATTCTCGATTTGCTGCTCAAATTCGACGTCAATATTGGCAACCATTTGCAGGTTATGCGATCCACATTCTGGTCCATCCTGATCTGTTTGAACGCAAGCATCATGCTGGTGTTAGCCCTGGATTCCTGGATGTGGATAGAAGCTGTCAGCCTGACGATGTACAAGTACTATTTCGTGAGAAACGTGCAATACTATCAGCTGACTGTATTCATATTCCTGATATTCTGGATGGCCATGGAGGTATATTGCAGGTTCTTCATGTTGAACAGGTTCCTGGAACGATTGTCTCAAAGGAATCAGAAGAACCATTTGATCCTCCTTTATCCAGAAATCGCTAAAGTTAGAAGATTGCACAATCAGCTCTGTAAGGTGGTGAATAAGCTGAATCGAATCTTTGGAATGGTGATACTTCTGTATGTGCTATTTGTTATGGCTTATATTATTCAATATACCATAATCATGATATTATATGGGAGTCTTGGTGGGACCATTCAGAATACTACTCTGCGAACTGGATTATTACAATTAACTTCTTGCTGCTGGATAATAGTGAACTTTGTGAGTATATACCTATACGTTATTATTAGAAATCAGTTGATGATTCTATAACCCTTAAACGTGAGAAATTCAGAAATTTCAGGTTACACTGTGCGAACGGTCAGCTCATATAGTCGGGGCAAATGGGTCGTGGTTCATTTACTTACCATATCATGTAACTTTGTCAAAAATATAACAATTAGCATAAGAAAGATAGTTCCACCAGATAAGATTTTATTTGGACGCCATCTACAGATAATAAAGTTCAACAAACCTCTTCCTTAAGCCAATCCCTGTAGAAAGAAATTGTCTGTGCTGAAGGATAGGAAAACAAATCAAACAAATAAAATTTAGGTTCATTTACTGACTAAAATGGGTATTCGAGGAGTAATAAATCTGCATCACAAACATTTATACTATGTGTCACAAATAAATCCGACTGCACCTGAAATGCAACTAGGTGTGCATATTTATTATACAGAGTGTTAAATAAACGTTCTTCTATCAGTGAAACTTGACACAATGATCATCAGCTTTGAATAAATCTAATCAATAAAATCAATGGAATATTCCCCAGATATAATGCATTACACCTTCACAGATTTAGGAATATCGAATGATGATTTTATAATTGTACTAGATTCTAAATTGTACTTGATTTTAGATCATAAAGGATTTGATAATAAATGTTTCAACGATCAGTGAGTTCTTTATAATATGCAGAGATTACCTTATACTTCAGCAAGACTGTGAATAAGCCAGAAAATGTAGTTGGACCAGAGCTTATTGATATTTACAGCTTCCAAATTACATCCTGGTCATTTCATCATCATTTTGGGCTCCTGGTTTCAGATTTCATGAGAGCATACGAGTCTGGGTGAGACGTCAGGTGACCTATAAGTATGCTTAGTCCAGCCAGTACGTTGAATTTATGACATCAAGTTGGAAATTATCTATATCTTCTTGAAATTTACATCAATAGCTTTCCAGCATTAACAGGAACAATAAATCGGCTGTAAAAGCCAGGACAATCTTTCCATGAAGATTGTTTCCTCAAATCAGTAGAACTGCTTACTCTTTCGAGTCCATAAAAAAGCATTTATGAGCAAAATTTACGTAAACTTCCAAATCCAAAAAGTGAAGATTTAAAGTAAATAAAACAAGTAAAAGTACAATAAAAGTAAAATAACAGTCTGGCAGAACTATAACATAAGAAAAATAGAAAACATGTTATAATAACGTAACCTCAAGATGATGAAAGTTCACAAATTAATTTTCATGAATATGGACCAAATTCCATAAAAATAATAATTTCTATAAATCAAAAATATTCTTAATAATTGAATAGTTACCTCTAATTAGATGTTTCTCACGAGAAATGGTGGATGATTAGAAATTTGATTCAGCGGACATCCACCTACGAGTTCATTCAATGATGGCCAGATGCAGAAATGAACGATTTTCAATTTTTCTTTCTCTTTTCTAGTTGGAAATTCAAATGTCCATGTTATTAAAGTCAAAAAATCATAGTAACCAAACAGCCAGATTCGAATCAACCGTTGCAATAACCGATATCAGGTTCAAATGAATAATCAATACAAATCAATACAGATCAATAACATTAAGAAAACGCTGACGGCCTACTACCTAGACATGCTAAAGATATAGCGAAGTTTGTAAACCTTGATATGTTACTGTCGCGATCCTGCTCGTTGAAGGTCTGAACGCTGAACTATTCGTTAATGCTACATGGGACAAAGGAACAGAAGAAAAAGAAGAATTAAAATTACAACCTTAACAACTCGTTTGACATTTCATATGAATATTTTCGAAACAAACTGAAATAATAATGAACTTTCATCAAGTCAACAAAACATAACATGCAATTAAAATCAATTATGCAACGAATATACAGGATGATCTACGATGAATGCCAGTGACTCGCAGCTCCATGAAATCTGTAACAGAAAAGCTCAAAATATCCTACATAAGGGAATGCAAGTTCTCAAAATACTTTCAGTGAAAACCAGAGTTGAATTAATTACTCTGAAAAGGTCAGTTGAATACTTGGTACTATCAATATTTCATAGAAAAAGTAACATTTACTAAAAGTGGATGTTACAATTCAACAAAGACATGAAGACGAATATATCATTTCGAAATATGGATATATTTTATGTGTATATTATCAATTATGTCGGTGAAACACTTATCAGAATGGAGTTGATGGATGCGTTACTAGATATATGTTCATCAAACATTATTCAATTGAGTAATTGGTACTGCCTGCTTCATCCTAATGTCGTCCCAAATATCATGGAACTCAACCAGTTATCGGAATAAGTGCTAAATAGTCCATAGAATTTCTGAGCACATTTCGAAAATATGCATATATTTTCCTAACTCTTGCAAACACATGAAGATATAAAGTGTACTTTCTGACAGCAGCTGACAGTATTTTCCATTATGTTCATCAACGCCATTATAGCTTTCAAGCAAAAGACTTCACCTCTATTCACTACCTATAACGTCATAATCAAAGTTGTCGACCACATTGCGAATAGTTTCTTAACGCTGGCCGTATTTTTTTACACTATTCCGAACGTTTTCGTCTATCCAAGCAAACTGGAAGAATTTCTCGATTTGCTGTTCAAATTCGATGTCAATATGGGCAATCATTTGCAGGTGTTGCGATCCATTTTCTGGTCTGTTCAGATAGGTTTGAACGCGATCATCATGCTGATGTCAGCTCTATTCGCGGGGATCAATGTCACCAGGTGGCGCTCGGTTTTCATCGTTTCATGTCAAACCCACGTCAAAACTGGAGGAAAACAAACCCAATCCTCACTCAATCCCATTAGTGCCATTAGCTTGTGTACTGTGTACTGATAAGAGTGATAAATTTTTTAATTTCTTGACATTAATTGTCAATATTCGATCGAAAACGCTAATAATGCCTGTTGTAGATATTCTTTTGGCAGATATTTTGCTCTAGTCAGACGGAAAAAGCCGACCAGTAGTGGAAGGAGAAGCAGTTCTCCGTGCTAATCATATGATTCTGTGTGAGGCAGAAGACTTCAACAAAAGGCACATTTTTGCACTTTGTCTACAAACTCTGGCGATGAAATCTTCCCCACATGAAGTAAAATTGAAGTTGGGGTCCAGAGGAGCTCCTGTAGAACAATACATTTGTATTTTTTGTTCATGCAAAGCAGGACAATCTGGGTATTGTAAACATGTTGTAGCTGTTCTTTCATATGTCAATTGATTTGCTCGTCATAATTATTTTGAATTGTTTGAACTATCTTCAATTCTTCACCAGTTCACTGTTCACCAAACTAATAAGAATGTAATAATGTAAAGAAATTAACCAACTCAACCATCATCACTACCAACAGTACCAACACTTTATGTCATTGACAAGGTTAACTATAGCTACAGCAAGCTGAATGCAATGTAGTCTATGCACTTTATCCATAGACAACAGTTTGTTTTCCCCCAGTTTGAAGTTCGTATTATGTAACCTAGATGTCGCCCACTTCGTGAATCTCGCGAATTGATTACTTGATTTGGACTGATGCTGTCAATCTGACGATTTACAAGTACTATTTCGTGAGAAACGTACAATATCACTTGCAATAGCTGATTTCACTCTTATTCCTGATATTTTTCGCGGTCGCCAAGGTCATTATAGGGTGTGCTATCTTCGAACTTGGACGAATATTTCCGTATGCAAGTTATGGTATGCGAAATAATACCGGTCTTTAGATTTGCCGATTCTCAAACGGCAATCGAATGTAAATTTTCGATTACCTCAATATTCGCACATCTTGATGTGGCAACGTTTAATTATAAAGTTTTTCTATGAATTTCACTGTTGATTTGAATTAGTGAGGTTATCCCTAATAACACAATAACATCTGTAAGACGTCGTAGAAACAACCATATGGGATGATAGGATCATCTCTGGAAAATCCCTATTTTCCTTGGGACATTCTTGGGATGTTGCTGGCAACACCCTTGTCAGCATTTGCGATTTCTTGTAAACATCCCATCAGAATGTTTGTGGGATGATACGGGATGTACCAGAGACATTCAGGGTACTTGATATGGAACATCTTGAAGAAACTTCTACGATGTTTTTTGTTTGATGAGAGTAATGGATGACACGGTATGAATTGATTTCAATCTGGAATCCTGAAAATGGACGACCTATTTCCAGATATAAAGTAACAATCCCAATCGGAATAAATAAGGTCGGTGCGGTCCAATAACTAATGGAAGATAATAACAGTTGTAATAACAGTTGTTTGAGGCTCATATTTGTTGGCGCTGGGCCGACGGCTGTTAGCAACTCTTAGCAACGTAGTTGTACCGCCATCTATCGGCTCGTATAAAAAAAATTCAGCAATAAATATGCTGGAGAGATATATTTCAATTTAGTCGTTTATTACATGGTTCATGAAGTTAAGCAGGTACTTTGGTAATCCTATTGAGGAATATTTAGTATAATTATTTCAATTTGTTATCGATGAAATTAGCCGGCTTTGGTATAGGTATAAGTATATGAGTACGAATACAGTTTTGATTTCCATTTTTTACCAACTCTTCAATGTTTCAAATGACACAGTTGTTTGAACTATTCAATCATGTCAATCATCATTAGCGAATATGGAACCATGATATATTGTTTATGAAAAAAAGATCAAATGGGATGTTTCTAGAACATCCAATGAAAACATCTGATGGATGTCCCAAGAGGAACATTTCTGGGATATCGTACCTAAGTCTGACACATTGGGACATTTGTAGGACCTTAGCGGGATG